TAAGTTTTTTGCGAAAGAGTTAGACAGAAAGAGAGAAGAGTGAAAGAATTTTCTGTGTCGTCACGAAATTTGTATTCTTTGGTTGTTTCTTTTTGGAGTATGACAATATATCGTGTTTATTGCAATTCGCTGATTCCAGATTGATATTACGTATATAACCAAAAAAAAAAAAAAAAAAAAAAACAAGCAACAGAATCTTGTGGCTGGTTTCAGAATAGTTGCTATATACTATATATATGTATATCATCCTGCTTGTTTTTGTGTTGTCTGAAAAACCTGCATATTTTATTATCTTTAAAGTGTATAATGTATTTTTTGCTTTGAGATATTCTTTATTCTTTTTCTTTTTTCTTTTTCATCTTTTTTTGTTGGTTTGTTTTTGAATTGAAACGAAAAATGAAAATCATACATATAAAAGCCTGTAATTGCTTGTCGAATAAGTTGATTCTTTTTTTTAGTATCATATTTAGTAAAAATTGTATTGAAATCATAAGGAAATTAATTGAAAAACAAATACAAAAGAATGGAATTAAATATATGGATCGAATTGATCGGCACAAAGCCTACTTACTTTTGCCTTGTGCGCCACGCTGCCCAGCCACGCCGGGCATCATGTTGTCGCGGGGCGGCGGCGGCGGTCCCCTGGCCCCGGGCCCCTGACCCCTGCCCCGTTGAGCGAGACTGCCACGCCCGGCGGCGCCGCCAGGTCCCATTTGATTGTTGTACTGATCGGGCGCATCGGCCAGAAAATTGGATGGCACCAAGCCCCGAACACCGTCCAGTTCGCCCATGTAGAAACCATCTTCATCCATATCACCATAAACGAGTATGACCTCACCCGTCTTGAAACATAATTCCACTTGCTAAGGGAGAGTTGAGATACTCAATTTTCAGAGAGTTTTGTCGTTTGCCGCCCACTCACCTCGGCATCCACATTCGGACTTAGCTCCTGGGGATCGTAGTCGTAGAGGGCGACCATTCGCTTCACGGGCATATTCGCATAGATGTCGCCCCAGCGATCGCGGCTCACGTTGCGCATGCTCTGCTGCGGCGCATTCTGGCCGGGCATCACCTGGCCGGTGCCCCCTGCAGTTGGTTGCCCGCCGGTCATCTGGGCAGTGGTGTCCTCCACCTCGCTGACCATGTTGTGCGGCACGTAGCCGCGACGGCCGCGCAGCTCGCCCCAATAGAAGCCGTCGGCGTCCTTATCACCAAACACCTGCGCCACAGACCATAAAAGAGAAGATGTGACTGTTAGCAAGATCGAGAGTCGAGCATTCCCATATATACATATGTGTATATATATGTATATAGTATAATGCTATTTGGTAGTGTATGTATATGTGCATATTGCTAACTTAACGCTTAGTTATGGAACTATTAGAGAGAGATAGAAGAGAACAACGTCTACTTAGTGTTTGGGTAATAGAAATATGTTAGTTACTGTATCGGGGATTATTGGTGGTAGTACATGGGTATGGATGTGGATATGCTTAAACTTATCGATAACAATCTCAACTGTAGTATGTTTGGTTATGTTAGGGATAGACTGATCATATAATATATTTAGTGTCGAAGGAAAAACATGCACAACATTCATTCATTCAATTAGCGGCAAGCGCGCAGCCAATTCTTGGCAACGTTCCAATTCGGCATCCAATTCAGAGCAAGCGCTGCTTTAGCTGCTTTCCAGATTAGCTAATGCTGATTGTTGATATAGATAGAGATTGCTGATTTCTGATCTCTGTTTGCTTTACCCCTTCGTGTCTCGTTGACGATCAAACTTGACGAGTTCTCAGTTGGCTTGGTGCGTCGCGGCTGCAAAGTGTTTTGGGTGGTTCTGTGTAACGGCAAAATTGCAAAGAGCTTACCTTGATTGTGTCGCCCTCTTGGAAGGGCAGCTCTTCGTCGCAACCATCTGGATTAGGACTCATTGTGGATGGATCGTAGTCGAACATGGCCACAAAGTAGCGCGGCTTCTTCTGCGCCCCGGGCATTTGCTGCTGCTGCTGCTGACCCGCTTGCTGACCGGGCAGCATTTGACCCTGCTGCGCCTGCTGCTGTTGCTGCTGCTGCTGTTGTTGCTGTTGCTGGGTGAGTGCACCACGCGGACCCTGCACTTGGCCCGGCATTTGGCCAGGCATTTGGCCCGCCATTTGACCCTGCATCTGACCCTGCATCTGACCTTGCATGTGCCCCTGCATCTGCCCGGACATTTGGCCAGGCATCTGACCCTGCATTTGCCCGGCCATTTGACCCTGCATGCCGTGCATCTGACCTTGCATCTGGCCCGGCACTGGGCCACGAAAGCGTGCTCCCTGTGCTCCGTACTGCTGCTGCTGCAGCTGTTGTTGTTGCTGTTGCTGCTGCTGCTGTGGTCCCTGGGGTCGTCCTGGCACCATGCCGCGCTGTGGTGCAGTCGGCGGATAGCCCTGCATATCGATAAGTTATCGATCGCGGATAGCACGCGCATGAATTTGAATTAATTTAAATGAATTTGAAATTTTGTTAGCATTTTTTCGTTCTTTTTAGATTTTTGCAAAGTTTGTTCTTAGATTGTACTCTGTTTTTCATTCACATTGTCTATAGAGAGGTAAGTTCTTTAGCGATGTGCGGGCGTCTGCGTATAGCGTTAAGGCTCGACACAACTAAAGAGGTTATTTAATTACATATGTATATAGACTAAGTAGTATTAAGTATAGCTATATATAGCTGTGTGTGTAGGTGTGTGAATATATATATATATATATGTATGTATAGATTTGTATATTAAGAGAGGCGCATTAAGCAGGAGTCTAAATACGACAGCTGGGAAATCATAATGCTATGGCTGATAGGTCAAAGGCAAATACGAAGCTAGTTTGTTAAGTGTGTTGGAAATAAGAAAGCACGAGTTTGAGTTGAAACCGTATCTGGGTAGATGTAAGATGCGGTTTCTGTTGTAAGTGTTGTGGATGTAGTATGTATACACATGTTGCTAATATGAACTGCAAACCTACAACTGAATACTAATATACTTGCATACTTACACACATATATATACATATATATAGATATATACATGTACACATATGTACTCATATCATATATAGGCTTATTTATAGTTGATGCATTTCGTATATAGTTAGTAGGCGCTGAGACTATCCCAGTTAAAAAGCATTTCAAATCGATTTTATATACATAAGTGAATGTCGCTTGAAAAGTTCTTTAAAACATTTTCAACTAGTCTTAAGGTAATTGCTTAGTATGGAGATACGATCGATAAGATAGTATTCAAGTATCCCATCTAACCATGCAAAAGCTTAACACTTCATTCACGACTTTTACAGCTTCCCTAAAGACAAAAGTTTGCCCTCAAAAATAGGCAAATATATTTTCCAAAATTAAAAAAAAAACAAAAAAAACAAAAAATTTGCTAAACGAAAAGTTTGATGAACTGAAGAATTGAAAAGTTTTAAATAACATATAATTCAGTATTTTCGTACTTAGCATTTCGTTTAAGCTTAAGAAAGCATAATTCTACTAGTTTTTGTTTTGTTTTGTTTTTAGTTAATTATAGTACTATAATTATAATTAGTATAAGCTATAGTAATTGAGATACGTATTACTAAAAATGCAGCGAACTCTTAAGATGAGCTTTTACTCTAGGCAACAACTTATATGTTAGTGTGTGTGTGTGTATATACGTGTGTATGTGTGTGTGTGTGTGTTTAATACGAATGCGTATGTGAGAGATGTTGTGGGTATAACTTACATTCTGGTTCACTTGACTCTGTGTGGGTTTCGAGAAGAGGCCACCGAGCAGGCCACCTAACAAGCCGGAGCTTCCGTCGGGCTGTTATCGATTCGATTCGATTCGGTATGGTAACGGGTTAACGGTATCGTTTCATATAATGAAAATGAATATGTATAACTTGTTTTGGTTTAAAATTGTTCGTTGCATTGCGATTTTTTTTTTTTTTTTTATTAATATTTTCCTTAATCAAACTCCGCTCAAAATACTTATTGAAGTAAGAAAAGTTTCTATTGTTCAAACTGAGTAACTCAATTAAGTTTGTTGCATTTGGCAGCAAAAGTTTTTGGAGCATGCTATTTGTGAACTGTACTAAAACAAAATCAAAACAAGTAAGAAAGCTCTAGTCGAGACTGCTCGACTAGGAGATACCCTGAACCCTCTAATCTGATATTCTAATCATTCTGCACTTCTTTTATGCACACATACATACAGATGCATCCACACGCACGCATAAGCCTGCGCTCTGCTAACTGCGCAGTGGGCAGCGACTGCGCTTGGGCTGCGCTGCAGTGTGGGCAATATTATGAGAATTTATTTGTCGAATAATTTCTTTTGTAAACATATGATCTTAATGAAACTTTCAGAGTGTAATCATATGGTAAATATGTGTGTACATTCCAAAGCACAAGTCTCTAGTACTTGAAATGCGTTTTTTACAAATTGGGGGAGAAGGGGGCGTGGTATCCAAAATCTGTAAATTACAAAATCTTTGTATCGATTAACTTTATATACAACACAAATTTGAAGACTCTAGCTCTTATAACTTCTGAGATCGACGCACTCATACGGACGGACGGACGGACGGACGGACGGACGGACGGACGGACGGACGGACGGACGGACGGACAGACGGACAGGGCTATATCGACTCAGCTCGTCACGCTGATCAAGAATATATATACTTTGTGGGGTCTGCCACGCCTCCTTCTGCCCGTTACATACTTTTTCACAAAACCATTATACCCTGATTTCCCATTTTCAATGGGTTCAGGGTATAAAAACAGAACGAAAATCAAGATTCATGAATCCAAAATCAAAACTCAAATCAAACACTAGCATTAGGAAATCGGCATACGTCATCTCACAGAGAACCAAAATATTAACTAAATTAATAATAATCAATTTACATACATACAAATTCTTAATTTTTTTTCTTGGATTTTAGGGATATTTAGTTGTGGGTCTTAATTCAAATTGCTTTGGTTCTTATATTATATATATTTATATACTTTCTCACAGATCTCGGCAACGCAGTTCATTATTTTTCTTTTTTTCAATTTACAAAATTTGGTGTGTGAATTTTTGTGCGATTGTCTAATATTTCATATAGTGTATGTATATAATGTGGTTATATTGCAAAACAATTCATAGAAAATAGGTTGAGAGAAGTAAGTAGAGTAGTAAAGGCAATTCAAAATAGATACAGAAATATATAGAAAGTATATATGTAGCTGATAGAATACTCTTCCTTGTTTTGGTTTTCTTTTTTATGTTTTCAAAGTATCCGCTATGAAGTCGGAATCAAGTTGATGTTCGTTTCAACCAAAAACAAACTGAACACAAGTTGGTTAAGTATATAGTATGTATATGTATGGGATATTTTCATTGGATTTTCCATTTGAATATCATATGTACAAATCATAATGGGGAGTATGGGATCGGCATTCAAATTCAGATAGAGTACGATCTACATTCAGTAGAGTTTTATGTACAGTCTTATGGAGGATGGATGGTTAAAGAGAAATTTCGGGAAACTCAGAACCAATTGCATTTGAAATAATAAGTACAGTTAGACGAAAAATAAAACGAGTTTACAGAACATTATTTATATACAGTGAATGCCAGAGCTAAGCGTAGATCTGCACGCAGATCTGGCCAATCGGCTGACATTTGGGTGCGGCACCCACACTAACCTGATGACCCGGCTGGGCCTGACCCGGCTGCTGGTTCGGCAGCTGGCCCGGCTGCTGCTGCTGCATCTGGTTGGGATCGTACTGCGTGTGATCCTGCTGGCCGACGCCCATGTGCGGCTGCTGTCCGGGCATGCCCTGGTGCTGCTGCATGGGCATGCCGTGGAGGCCCTGCTGTGGCAGCTGCGGACCCATGCCCATTTGATTTGGTCCCCGGCGAGCGACAGCATTGCGCACGTTGTCTGCAGAGGGAGAGAGATGGCTTAGTAGCGCAAATTCCAAGTGAGATTACTTGGGGACGCTCACTTGGTATTAAGATGGGTGCACTGTCCGCCGACTGTGAATCGCGAGATTTGGTGCGTATGGTGACGGCCCGGGGATTGAAGACGCCCAGCTTGCCGATGTCGATGAGTGCATGATCGCCCGTAGGTGAGTTGATGTCGGTCACCTTCTTACCATCGGCGTACACAGCGTAGCCGGTTACGGGCCCCGTGGACGTGGGTCGGTTAACCGGCTGCCATGTCACCAGAATGGTGCCATCCTGAGGACCAGCCTCCAATTGGATGTCTTGTGGGGGATCAGGCAAGCCTTTGGTCAGTGTGCGAAAATCGGCATAGGCGCCGGGTGCTTCCTCCTGGCCGGGTCGGCCCGGTGCCTGCGGCGTCTGCTGGCCAACCGCACGCAAGTGCTTGGCGCGCACAGTCACCCGGTATTGGGTGCTGGGCGCGAGCCCGGTTATTGTGTGCCTATACATGCCCGGCTTGACGGTGCGCACCTCCACATTGTTCACACACACCACGTGCTGGTGGTTGGAGTTGGCTGGCAGCCATGAGATAACCGCCGAGGAACACGTTATGTGCGAGGCGCGCACCGCCGAGGGGCCCAAGTGCGAAGTGTCTCGCCCAATGATCATTGTGCAGGCGGCGTCCCTGGACGTCTGACGGGTTTGCGTAACGCTCCGCACGCTGATGCGATGCGGCTAAACGAAAACAGAGAATATTGAAGATATAGAGGAAGAGCAGAAGCTGATGATGCATTGCATCACTCCAGACTTACCCGCGTGGAGTCGACGCCCTCAATCAGAGCGCGTGTGCGTTCGTTGGCCTTCACCGTGACCTTGAGCACACCATCTACATAGACGTGATAGCTGTCAATCAGATTGTAGCCCACCGGCTCCGGTGGCGACCAGCCAATGAGCACGCTCTTGTTAAGCTGCCGTTCCAGCGTCAAGTGCTTCGGAGCTGGAACTGATGTGGGCGAAAGAGGGAGATAGAGATGGGGAGAGAGCAGGCCGGACGAGAAGAGCAATATTTGGATTAGTATTTGAGTTTATGCATTGAGACCTATTGATCTATTGCTGCTAGCCTAGTCCAGTGCGTCTCTACAGTTAGGGTATTCAAAGGTCGTTATGCTCACATTTGCCAACGCAGAGTACGCATTCGAGTGGCCACAAAAACCAAACCAAACCAAAGAGATTAAAGAATGGGGTTCGGGCAGCAATGGGAGCGTATATAGTTACCATTATCGCTAATGTCGTCCTGGTCGTGCTCCAGATCGGTGTGCGTCTCACTCAAACGTGCCAGTTCCTCGTGCGTGTGTGTGAGCAATGGGTTGTGCGGCGGCAAGGAAGGCAGCGACGTTGTGTCGCACTGCATGGAGCCATCTTCGGCGTCGCGCAACGTGGACAACACCGCCTGATGGAACTCCAGCAAATCGTCGCCTAAACGAAATTAACAGACGGCAGTGAGTGGGGCTCGATTGGTTCGATTCATTGCTCCAGTCCAGTTACTCACCCACAAGTCGCTGCACAAACGAAGCGGGCACTAAGCCGCGTCGTCCATCCAAGAGCTCAGCATCCAGATAGCCACCCTGCGGCTCACCGCTAGTCCACACCAGCAGATAGTCGCCGGCGCAGAGCGACAGCTCGCCCTCAGCTTCCCTGAGAGGGTGAAAGAGGGAGAGAGAGAGAGAGAAATGGAAGGTCAATTTATAGGAAACTAGCCCAAGTTCAGGTTCACTCACTCTGGCGGATCGTAGGGAAAGCGCGCAATGAAGACGCAACAGCGTCCCTTGCCCGGTATGTCCAACATGTCAACCTGCGGCTCGCTGGCGCCGTTCAGCCCATGATTGCGAGCTGAAACGAAGAGCAAAAGGAACATTAGAATGCGGGAAGCCCATGGAGCATCGATTGCTATGCTTACTGTCCAGGTCAAGGGCGCCCAGCGCCAGGCCGCTGCGATTGTGCATGAGGGAGGTGCCCAGGCCATCGGTGAACTCGTCCAGGCCCCAGCTGCTGTGGCCCACGGGAATGGGCGAGCACGGTGAGCTGCGATTGCCGTAGCGCGTCAAAGGAATATCAATCTCGTCCAGCATTTTCATCTTGGTAGCCTGGCGCAGTGCGGCCGACGTGAATGGATACGAGGCGCTCGATGCAGCATCCATAAACGGCGGGCCGTATGCGCTGCCTAGGGCACCGGTGGCACCACCACTCAGACCGTAGAGAGATGTGGCTCCCGTGATGCCACCGCCGGCCGGTCCGAGGCCAAGCAGGGCGCTCGTGTCGAGCATGTTGATGTTGCTCATGGTGGGATGGGTCAGCGAGGAGCCGACTACGCCGCTGCCGCCGCTCAGGCCCAGGGCCGAGTAGCTGGTTGAGCCGCCAGGCGGCAGATTATGCGAGTTGAGTGACAGGAGGGGCATGGTTGTGCTCTGTAAATTGTACAGTTGTATTGTTCCGCGCTTCTCGTTTCAATTTCAATTTCAATTTCATATTCAATTTCAGTTTCAATTTCAATTTAAGTTCAATTTTGTGTGCGAATTTTGATTTTGTTTTGTTTTGTTTTTGTTTTTTGGATTTCAATTTACATTGTTGTTGTTGTTGTGGTTGTTGTTGTTGTTTTCGGTTAGTGTATTAGTACAGGCGGGGGTTACAAGGGCACACATACAGACAATTATTGCATAAGCACACAGACAGACACACACACAGAGAGACATTGAAAGACATGGATTGCAGATGATTTCATTTCGAATCGCAAGTTTCAGCACATTGGGAAGAGAACGAATCGAAACACGAGTTATTTTACATGAAGAGAAAAAGAGAACATATAGAAAAAAAAGAGAGAGAGAGAAAGAAAGAGAGAGAGAGAAGGGAGACAAAGAGAGAGCGCATAAAACGGGAAAAGAGATCACAGAGTAGACGTTTATTGGTCAATATTTAACAGGAAGCCAGCTAGAAACAGCATTATATATTAGCTATGAGAAAGTATTTGAGAATTGAATCGAACATGTTGTTGTGATTAGCGACGCAGACGAGAGTAGATATACATAAGTTATGAATATTGAGCTAGTTGCTATGTGAACTGAAGCCGTTTCCAAGCAATTGATATGAACAATGTTGCCTAAACAATGGATTAGATTAGTACTTAAACATCGAAACGGAAAGCGTCGAAATGCTCTATGTTGATTGGCTACAGATTTGATATTGAAATATATGGGTATATATATAAGTCTTGTAACTCTTAGTATGTATATGCATGTGTTTGCTATATGGCATTGAGTTGGTATACATAATGTGCTGTGCATGGAGAAGAATGCGAATGCGGCATGGTTGAAATTTTAGTGAAATGGCGTCATGCTGATACGATTCTAATAAGGATACAAAATCAAATATATTTATATACCCTTGCGGAAAAGTTAAGAATTCCTTAATTTAATGTGTTGTATATAAATTATTAATGTTTTGCATATCTTTGAAGTCTAAACTCTCAGCTTCTACGAAACTAGGCAAAGCTTTCCTTTGTTGAAGAGATAAGATTTAATATATATACTATCAACTTAGAAATTATTCTTAGTTTTAAAATTGTTTTGTTGTTTTTTTTTTTTTTTCTTTTATATATATCTCACAAACTTTATAAAACCCGTTATAAAGTCTAAATCAACCTTGCGGTGGTTTTACGAAGATCATTAAGGTACCTCGGGGTACTAACTAACTATTCTTTCTGTTCAAATTTTAAACTTAAAATAATATATTTTGTTATTACCAAAATATTTAGTGTATGGCCTATAGACCTGTACTTATAGAAACTCAAGACTCTGAGATCGCAATAGATTTTTATTCAGTATTGCAAAATGTCCTACTATATTAATGTCCATATGAAAGTCTGACTGTTTTCGTCTACCGCAAGGGAATTATAAATTTTACTTTTTCAATAAAAAACAAAAGAATGGTTCCACACTCCTTAAAAAAATACATAGACCAAAAGATCAGATAATCTGATAAAACTTCTTATGCATGCAATAATTATGCTCAAAATGAGGCAATACATTTCTAAATTCTTGAAGATTCCATACCAATTACTAAATATATTTATATACATTATTTTCATAAATTAATAAATAAGAAAACAAAAATATGTATAAATTCCTTTTGGGAATACATTGAAATACCAAGAGTTGCATCTGAGTAGCAATTACTGTGTTAGCTACGCATGTATTCGAAATTATGTTAGTCTGTGTGTATGTACGTATGTATGTGGGCATGTATGTATGTGAACATTGTGAGCATGTATGTTATTATTTTCAATAATGAAACTACAACAAAGCACAAAATGTGATTATCAGTCGCAGAGCCAGTTGGCTCGGCGCGTATGATCAACAGTTAAATGAACGATTAAATACGAAGGCTACTTTAAGCAGATGATCACCAAAAGGAGAGCCAAAGCCATGTCGCCAAGTGCCAAACAAAGGCTTCAAAGCGGATTTTGTTTTGGTATCAAAAAAAGCTAATTTAATTGCATTTTATAAAGTTCTGTTTTGTTGGGTTTTCTTTTCTTTTTTCTTTTTTTTTATATAAGTATATTTTTCACTTGTTGCTTGTAGTTCATTGCAATTGAAAATAGTTGGTTTACCTGACTTAATGCCGTTGGCATAGCCTTCATCGTGTGAATATTTACCGGCAATGGTGGAATGCCAGTTATTCCACTAGTTCCGCTCAGCAGCTTCTCAACGGAGGTCTGGCCGCCGCCGTAGGCAGACGCGTTCATTGATTGCAGGGCATGACTGCTCAGACTCGAGGATATGCCGCTGATTGAGTTGGGCATCAGGGCCGATATGGATGATAAGCCACCAGCGCCGCCAACACCACCACCGCCACCACTAACACCCGCCGCGGCGGCGGCAGCAGCGCTCTGCGAGCCAACGCTCGTGCCGCTCAGGCTGGTGCTAGCTCCGTTGCCCAGCGTGGAGGCCAGCGATTGCGGCAGGCTCGAGTAGCCGGACGATAGAGCGGAAACTCCGCCACCCGATGCGCCGCCCAATACGGCGCGTTTGTATCGATTCAGTTCTTCTTCAAGTTCTTTACGAAGAAAAGAAAAAAAAAAAAAAAATGAGTAAATAAATGAAATACAAAATCGCACGCAAATTCGATAAACTTGGGGCTTACCACTCTTTGATATGGTTCTAAATTCGCTGTTTCCCGTATTCATCATGGAGCTGGGCGGCATGTTTTGCAAGGCTGACATGCTGGCGCTGGCCGAGGTGCGCGGTTGCTCCAACTCGGCCAAAACGCGATTGTCCTGGAATCGTACAGAGGTTATATATTGTGTCTATATCGTCTATATTAAATTTGATATTTTGATAAGGCTATTAAGATATAACTAAAAGGACAATAGAAGCTGGAGGTATCAAAAGATGAATATAAAGACTAAAAAACATTTTGAGTAAAAAGAACATGTCGCTGGGAGCAGGGAATTTCCTATTCATATATGTTGTTCTGTTATATATTTTTTATATGTCTGTTAAATATTTCCCATTGAAATAATTTTTGGTTCCCTTTTCGAGTATAACCCTAGCAGGCTGGGCAAGGAATACCAATTTACTGTGCTGGTCTAGAGAAAATATTTATTCACTGTCTGCTCTCTGTTCTCGGAAAGCTGGCATAAATTGTAAACCGAAATTCTATTGGGAACATGATTCCCGTTGCTGATGCGGTGACTTCAATGACAATGACTAGCGACTTCAATGATTTGATACAAAAGACATCGTGTCTATTGGCTGACTGTGAAAGTGTGGACAAGAAGTTCTTCGACTCCTGTGGCGTTCAGGAGGATCAATTGCTGAAGAACTTGGTCAAATATTGCAATGACGATGAACGCATACAGCAGCTGCTCGAGAACGCGGAGCTTAAGCAGACCGTGGAGGACTACAAGGAGGGCGTCAAGGTAATAATGGAGAAGTTCAGAAAGCACTGCCAGCAGAACGTTCTCGGCGAGAGATTCAATCTGCGCCGCAGATACGTTGGCCAGCTGCAGGAGGTGGTCAATAATCTAGAGAAGCGGATTGAGGAGATGACCCTGATCATGTTGTGCAGCATTAGCATGGAGGAGCACAACAGCAACGAGAACCAGCGCATCATCCGACAGCTGACCAAGGAAAATGACGAGATGCGACGCAAGCTGCAGATATACAAGAGCTCCAAGGGCGAGAGCGAGGATTACTTCAAGCAGGGTCTGCCGGGGCAGGAGAACTGCGGCACACAGATCGAACTGGGTGATATTGAGGAATCGGATTCGTGCAGCATCGAGAGCTTTAGTAGTTTCGTGACCTGTTTCTCATCCACCAACGATTGCCAGTCGACGGACAACTCAACCAAAAGCGATGTCGATTGAGAGTGGACATTGGGGGCACACTAATTCATTCACGTTAGCTCACATTGTGCTCTATAATAAACATTTGTCATTTACCTGCTCAATCTTGGCCATTATTATATCGATCTCGGAGCCTTGGTCCTGGTGGCTGATTGTCGGTGCCCATGTGACGGTGGAACTGCTCGCAGAAGTTGGTATACTTGAGCATGGATATTGGCCATGTTGCGATGCTGCGGTTGATGTTGGGGGGCAATTGGCCATGTTCTGGTTACTGGGCCGCCCTGCCTTGGCTTTAAGCGCGGCGGTTAGCTCGATCTGCAGCTCCTCGCAGCGCACGTTCTCCAGCGCCACCTGAAATGCATTGCACAAGAATAGCTGAGGTCCTGTGGGCTACATTTGATGCGCCGCTGGCGCTTACCTTCTTTTCCAGCTCACGAGCACGCGACTGCAGATTCTCCACCGCCTCGGTGTCGGGTCGAGCGCATCCGCTTAAATTGCGTATTTGTGCCAGAGTTTCCTGTCAACGGAACCACTCGAAATTGTAGTTGAGCGGCTGCAAATCAGTCGCAGTGCGAACTCACCTGATGTGCCCGCTCGATCTCGGTGCGCCGCATTTCCGCATCGCGCAGCTGCATGCTAAGCGAGTCCAGCATGCTATTTGGCGCTACGCCGGCGGCCACGGCAGCGGCCGCCGACTGATGATGGTGCATCGACTCGTACGGCATGCTGTGGCTGCCCTTCTGACGTCTGCGAATGGATAAAACAAAACAGAATCGAAAATCGACTTTCAATCTTTGCACCACTCTCGACCATAAAAATCCCCGTGGGTGGCGGCAGCCAATGAAGGGTTATTGCTCATTTTGGGCTTGATTTATTTATGTGCGCGAGCTTACAAAATGGGGCAACTGCTTTGCTCCGCATTGTAATTGTCGAACATGGAGCACACACTCACACAGAGAGCAAGCGTGTGAACTTTGAACTTTGGGTTAATTGCTGTTGTGACCGCATTTCGTGTCTGACCCCCAAGGAACGGCACGCTCATGCAACAACATTTCCCAATAGTTGCTGTTGTGCCTCTGATTCAAGACTGCATTCATTGAGCATTTCCTTCGCATTTCCCATATTACTCATACGTCATGTAGTCGTGTGAAAAAGTGCGTAATGCTAAACGCCTCGCCCTCTCAATCGTCCGACACCTGCGCTGCAATCTAGCGCTTTGATTTCACTGTCTGCCATTGCAAACACAAAGACACACACACACACACAAACAGTCGTGTATTCATAGATACATTTACAGTCATGCACACTTATTCACACTCACGTATAGTCAATTGTATTACTCATACGCCTTGTTAGACGCGTGTCGGTATAAAAACAACTGTAACATGAGAGGAACACTAAACTAACTGACCGATACTAGAATACCTCGTAAGCCAAAGTTTAATATTAAATTGAATACATATCCAAAAATGAGTTTAGTTCAAAAATTTGTTAATGAAAACAAAATATTTTTATAAATATTTCTTGTTTTCTTTATAAAACTTTTCTTTGCCATCAAACATTTATATGAAAACTTTCTCCTCAATCAGAAGAAGATGAGTGTCTATTTAGAGTTTAAATAGCTTGAAAGTTTTCTGTCACGGATAATCCACTATTTTGTTATCTCTGTGTAGAGGGTATTCAACACGCGCCAGTTTGTCTAGACGGCAACAATACGCTGCAACTGCTAAAGGAGCAAAAGTTACAAGCTGTAAATTTATATATATACACACACACAATATAAACTGTTGAAGTTGCAATAGTTGCAAAATCCGTAGCTTAGACAGCCTACGATTCTGCTTTAGTGGCTTTCCGTATTATGTTGGAAGTGAAATCCAATAAGAAATCGCGAAGGAAATTCAATTTGCATCACTTTGCGTCCGATGATGTGCTAGGGGAATATCTATAGTAAAATGGATACAGAATGCTGCGATGATTCTAGTATACTGTCACACAAACTCCAAGGAGAACACCCACACACACACACAGATAGGCCAGGCTGTCAGTCAGGCAGGCAAATCACATGCATACAACTGCAGTCTGCTGTCAATGGCGATGTTTGCTGTATTTATACCCCTCCCGCTTCCCCTTGACATTTAAAAGGCAATGACAAGGTTTATCCCGCTACTGTCCCGCCCATCTGTGGGCGGACATGACAGCATCCAGCAGGTGGGCTTTGACATTTACTTCACGTCCTTCCGGTGTTGCCAGCAACAGCTCTCAGCTACGTTGATTGCATATTATCTGCAAATTTTCAAAGCAATTGCCTACCTGGACGTGCTGTTGATATCTACACTGGAAAACTGGATGCTGGATATCTAAGCTGGAGTACTTACAACGATCGGTTAATCATCTTAAAACATCATTTATGCATTTATGCATAAAATAAAACTGCGTCTATTTATAGTAAGTGTAGCACTTTTTTCACTTCACTTTTGCATGAATGCGCGCGTGTGTGTATGTGTGTGCGTGTGTGAGAGTGGGTAAACTGATGCCGTTATAATTGCGTTACGTGTGTGCAGCACAACGGAGCGCAGTCAAATGCAAAGCGCAACAGCAGCAAAGTCTCATTACGGCCACTAGTTGCTATTGTGCACAGCGCTACGAAAGTTTCTTCCCCAGCTCCGCTGTAACAGTGTATGTACACGTGTGTATGTGTGTGTGTGTGAATGTGTACAACTGCAAAAGCAAGAACAACAGCAACAATGTCGTTTATAGCTTTAGCTTAACTGCAAAAGTATGCACAGCAATTTGAGTGTGCGAACAAGATGGCAGCATTGTCTGTGTGTTGATGATGAGAGCCAGAGAATTTTGGTCATTGAGTGATGAGCTGCCCTGCTATCACTAGAGGGAGAGCGAGAGAGAGAGAGTGAGCGCGAGAGAGCGTGTGGGAGTGTGGTGCGTGTGAGTAAATATCCCAGCGAGAGCTTGCAGTTAGCCAACACTGGCGCATGCGCCATGCTGTAAAGTTAACAGACTATCAAACTGTTAGTCAGTTAACAGAGCTGTTTGTCCTTAAGTCGGTGGGCTTCAAAATTTTTTAATTATGATTATGAAGTGGGCGTTAAGTAGCTCTTACTCTGTGTGTTTGTATGCGTGTGAGTTTTCTTTGCTTTGCACTTGTTTTTTCATCATTTTCTTCATGGCTGAAAGTGGGTAGCATGTGGCTCTATATTCCACAGAGCTTTCTCATTTCGTTGTATGATTTTTACCTAATTGACTTAAATGTTAAGTTGGATCCATAAACCTAATATTTCAGTTAAATACTTCTGCATTTAGTACACACGAAAACTATGTAGCAACAGTTAATGTCGAAAGACACAACAGCATCATCAGCTGTTGTGAACTGTTTTAAATTTTAATGAGTTCGCCAAATGCGGATTAGCCAAACGACCCGCACACAAGGCAAGCTGTTCGCTCTTTCTCTTCCTTAATGGGCGGCCCACATGCCAAGCCCCATCCTCAGTCCCATTCGAATGTAGGTTGCAGGCTGATGCTGATGCTTTACACTCTATTAACCCAATTTCGTTTGGCAATTGCCAACGGAGTAAATTAAATGGAAAATTCACATGGATTTTAATTCCGATTCATGCGATTTTGATCGATGTATGCGACAAACACGGAATAGTCGAAATTCGGTTAATTATAAGTGTAAAGAAAAGAATCGTTAAACTTTAAAATGTTTACCAACTCGAAAGTAATTTAAAAACTTTCGTTGCTCACTGAATAAAACAGTAAAATGATGAAAAAAACAAAAAAAAGAATTGAGGTTACAAACTTAAAAGTTGCAACGTGCCACAGAAGTTTTCTGAGATAAATATACACCATTTGGTTTGAATTTTTTGCTCAAACACAAATAAATGGAAAGGAAGGAAACAACTTTTACGAATGGAAAGATGCAAACTTTTATGTCCATATTGCGTTGCATACTTTTTAGAGTCTATTAATGTAAATGCGAGAACGAATGACATACAAATGCCAATTCCAAAGATGACTTACTGCAAATGTAATTTATACACAGCTAAATTGTTGTATTGTAATCTGATATACATCCTCTAAAGTAAACATAAATTATAGATTTAAGAATTTATATACATATTATATTACTATTAAAATATTATCAAAGTAAACTTCAACAAAGTTAAATTATATCAAATTGCACATATCAAGAATTTCATATCAAGAATTAATGAAAAATAAAATCAACTTCAAAGATGCTTTTGTATAATAGTCCCATAAGAGCCCTCTTTAAGTTTGTTTAAATTTTGACAAAGTTCACTATCCTGCTGACAATTTGACCTCAATAGCAACACACAAAAAAGTAGAGGAGCAGCCAAACAGCACAAAAACTATCTTGCCTATTTATAACTACAGTCACACACACACATACACACACACACACATACACAAAGACCGAGCGAAACTCATGCGGGTCACACAAGTACACACTCACACACAYACAAATTGTAGCATAGTTTTTTGGGCAAAGTTTGTGGAATGTGTAGAATCGAATCTCTTCCCTCGCCCCATCCCATGGTTTTTAGCAAATCGACCATTGAATGATAGCCACATGTCAAAATTGAGCTGCTACTTGATAAATTCTCGAAGAAGAAGCAAACAAGAGAAGACCATTTCATATATTGACTATTTTGGCAGCGCGTGATATTAGATCGTTGCATTCATGAAAGACAAAAAAAAAAAAAAAAAAAAAACGAATCATAAATCTACATATTTTGGCAGAGCATAATAAGAACAACAACAAGACAAATAAAATAAACGAAAAAACAAATTGCGAATAAAGCCAAAAATAGTTGTTACAGCGTTTAGGCGCAGTCGACAGCGCTGTTATTATCTCTCCTGTTACTGTTTACACACGCACAAGCACACACACAGACACACACATTGTTAGCTAACTGCGAGTGACACAAGACAACCGCATGGCAAACACCTGCCCCCAACTGTCGTCGCAGCTCTTGCTCTCGCACTCTTTTACTGCTGCTATACATATATATGTATGCGTATGCGTGTGTACATATCTGTTTGGGCCATTCTGTTACGCACGCAGAGGAGCAAACAACTTTTACGCCTCCCACATGGCCCAACTGTTGTTGTTGCTGCTGCCCCTGCTGCTGCTGCTGCTGCGCGCCAAGTGTCAAAACCGCCCCCAAAAGCAAAATGTGGCACTTTTCATTTATCTTTCGCCGCTGCTGCTATCATGGCTACTGCGGCTGCGGCTGTTACTGCGGCTATGAATATGAAACGCACACACACATACAGATACATATATATAATTATATATATATGTACATATATATATATATTACACAAACGCACACATCCGACCAGCTATATGAGCCGCAAACTGCTGCTCTGCTCCACTTCCACTGGCCATTCCACGCTTCCTAAGTGTGTGCGACTTGTGCGCGCGCGCCTTTTTGCCGAAATGCAGTTTGTTTGCCAATTTTGGCACACTTTATTAATGCACTTTAGCATAAGCAGCAGCAGACCCACTCATACATGCATGCGCACATATTTATATACATTTGTGTTCAGTTTTCATTCAATATTCCGTTTGCATTGTCACAACTTTCGCATTTGTATTGTTGCTCGCATTGCCTTCTGTACGTGTGTGTGTGTGTGTGTGTTGTATGTGTGTATTTGTCCATGTGGGCATGTGTAAGCGCGTGTGGGTGTAATTTTACGTTAGCTTGCTTGCTTTTTTTTATCGTTTCATCGATATGCCAGTGCCGAAGTCTCAGTGGCAATCGCTAGCACTTTTACTTTCACAACACCCTTTTTGTCATTTCACATTTCATAAATATTGCACTTTTAAGCACTGGAGTTTCAATTTTGGATAATTGATATTTCATTGAAATTTATGAATATTAAAGCTTCTGACACTCGCGACATACTCAACATTAGATATCAAATTTCTTTGTTTTCAATTTTTTTTTTTTTTTTTTTTTTTTTTTTTTTTTCAAATCTGCTCAATTTACTTGAAACAATGCAAATATTTCACGTTACACACCAGCAGCGGGGCAAGTTCGACGGCTGCTGCTGCTACTGAGAACACATTTTCCCATTTGGTGTACAGCGAATTTTTCGTGTGCCCGTTCGCTCACAGGCCAGGCCAGGCCACTGCCACTGGCAGCCTTCGTTTTTCAGTACTCGTCCTGAATTTCTGGACTCATTTGACCAACTTTTTGTTTGCAAATGTAAAATGTATAACTGCATTCGATTCTTGAATCTTTTCAACTTTTACTGAACATTTAGATAAACGTTAACTTGAACATTTAGCGAACCTTTTTGCTACTGCTTCTTGAATGGTGCTGGGACTGCTGATTTTTCAGATCGCCTGTTTCCACTTCCACGTTAGCGTTAGAGAATTTACATAAATGCATAGAGTTTACACTAGTTAACGGATTTTAGTTTTACATAATATACAACGCGATTTCAACTAAAAGCTAAGTGTATAGAAAAAAATTGCAACTTTATTTTATATAGCAGTTGGATTTGAATGCGAAAACCGAAAAGTGGGTCATCTCGGTCGCGCTGCTCGGCTGGTTTGTACTCTGATTTCTATCCAACTGCCTGCCCAGAATGGCCCAGTGTGAAAACGAATCGATTTTTCTGTCAAATGACACTGAAAATTGGGAAATTTTCTCTGAGCTTAGCATTCCGACGCTCTCCCTCTTTCTCACTCTGTTGGGGTTGCAAATGTTAATGTTACGCTGTCACTGTTAACGTTACAGTTGGGGGTCCTCTGTTAGGAATAAGGAAATGCAATTTTTGAATATAAATACATTTATTTGTCGATTGTTTTCCTATTTCTACAATATGAGTTTTGTGTCTCTTTTTGTTTTTTCTTGTTTGTAATTTTTTTCATATAACATTTATTAAAAATAAAATAATTTTTTTCGATCTTCGATTTCTAGCGATCTCTCTGCTACTGTCTTTAGGTTTTATTTAATTTTTTTGTTTTTTTTTTTTCAAATTGAACATATCATTAAGTAAGTGTATTGTTTATATTTATAGTTTTAAATTTTAAACTCCAACAATTAAAAACAGTTAAAAATTCCATTGTGTTTATTTTTCTCATAGTTCCTTCCTGTTTTTCGTTTTCTCTTTTCTTTTTTTTACCTTTACTAACATTAAATTTAAGTTTACTTTTATGTATGTTCGCATTTCCTAAATAAAAACAAAATATCTTCTTTTCATCGCTGTGATTAACAGAAAACGAATGAATTATTTACAACAAATTGTAAACAAAACAAAAAAAGAGACGCTCGCGCAATTGACTAAATACAAAAGAATAAAGTTCAAATTCGAATTTGCTAATCCGTTTAGCTTCTCAAGTTGTTGATCTTGCTATTTGCTTTTGTATTGGAATTTAGTTGTCATTACAATAATTTAAATACATTAGGCCTATTTATTATTTTGTTTTTGTGTTTGTTTAGTTACAGCAGGCTTTAGTTACGGATCTCTAATATGCGACTACGGATTCCTATTGCAATTGTGTTCCTTGCTTCTGTTTGTTGCTTGTTTGTGTTTCTTTGTATTTTCTTAGTTTGTTTTGTGTTGTCTAATAGTTAGTTAAACATAAAATTAAAATGCCACTAATTTTTGCATTAATTAAAACATTTAATTTTCTACTCGCATTTACTCTTAACTGTCAGCATAATTTGATTCGTTTGCCTTATTAAAAAAAGTGCACTTATGAATACTGCATTCGGCCTGAAAATAGAAATAGAAAAGAAACGAGATTAAAAATCAATTGACTTCATTAGTTCATTAGGCACAATCGTGCGATCGCTGCTTTAAAGACCTCATTGATTAATAGCTAATGTATTTTCTGAGTGTGAACTCGAAGTGCAATATAAGTGCCCACAATCTCAAGCGAACTTTTATACTGATAAATGTGATATAGATAAACGAGTTTGGAACGCCAATGGGATGACATCACGGTCAGCACCATTGCGGTTAGATAAGAAACCTGATATCTGAACGATTAAGGTATTTGGCTGATAGCGAGCGGCATACCATTCTACTGTTTAGATATGGCCTCAATAAAATTTTGCTTTTCAGAATGGAGCCAACTTACTGTCCTTCTTTGAAGTATTCCTTCAGCGTTGTGCTGAACTTTTTTGAATATTTGACGAACTCTTTCTTGCGCTGCTCGACAGCCTGCTTGCCAGTGACGCCTGGTATAAACGAACCAATCTCGTTGACCACATCGAGCAGTTTCTTTATGGCGCTCGCAATTTCCCTGCAATAAAAAAGCATAATGTAAATGCTTATCTAATCTAGTTATAAGTGGATATACCACTCACTTGATTGTCTCAAGGAAGGTCTTGCGATCGTTGATCTCATCTGGTATGCGACTGAGTATCACTTTCAGGGCTACTGATTTGCGATTCAGCTCCTGGAACGGCTCTTCGGTGCGTGTCAAGCGATATTCATTAACTGCGCCACATATTGGGACAAAGAAAATCCAATTAAATACATAAACAGAAATGAAAACAATCGTATATCAACACACACACGCGCACATAGGTGACACATGCAGACGTGTGCAGGTGTTTCTACTTACGATCTGCCTCGGTAATGTTGCCCTGCAAACGCAAGACGGCCTCATTCAGGTTGACATTTAGATCAGCGCGTCTCACGATCGACGCAACGAGGTCATAGCAGAAGCCCGGATTGTTCTGCTCCGATTTTAGTATGGCTGAACGCAGTGACTGTGCCGCGCCAACGTCGCGTCGCTCGAGCTGGAAACAATTTACGTTTACGCAACATTGCATTTAAATTGGGACAGCCAACGCCCGCCTCGTTTGCACACACGGAGTCTCGGACTATGTGAACTAGCTTACCTGTGTGAAAATAGGCCTCAATATAACGGGCAGAACGAGAGACGAAGTTGGCTCACGCTCGCCCATGGTCATTTTTTAACACGTTTCGATTGAGCGCGCACAGATTTTCTATTGGTTTAAGCCGTTTATAGAAACTGGCACATTCTGGACTCAGGCCGCAGTGTTTTGGTCTTGTTGTACGCGTATGCACAATTTGTATAAATTAAATTAAAAAATTAACAATAATTCACAACAAAATGGGCACAGTGTTGCCAACACTGCAAGACATGTAGTGTTGTTGACGCAGTATCGATTGCTTAATGTATCGATATTTCTATGAGCAATGTGAAAAACAGCTGAGCTCGCAGCCAACATAACGCAACTCCCATGTGCGTTAGCTGCGAAATTTACCTCAAGCATACGCTGTCAGCTGTTGTGCAGTGTTGACTAACGGAACAATCCAAAGTGAAAAGTCACATAGTTAAGTAAAATAAGTACAAAATAAAATTGTTGTTTCTAGCGACACTATGTCCTTTAGATAATACATCAAACAAGACTGCTCCGCTATTGGAGTCACATTTGTGTATGTTTGTGATTGTGAATGAATATTGTGTCTGTACATTTTATGCAATTCGCTTAAAATCAGTCGAAGTGTGAGGTTGCCTGCGTGCCATTTTCATAGCCCAAGCCCCGAACACTTACAACCAAGCAAGATTAGTGCACTAGCCTCAGCGCGATGACGTCCACTAGCAATCTGGTAGATGTTGTTCGCCACTACCAACGGAGCATTGAACGCCATGCCGAGGATGAAACACGCGTAAGTTATTCCCATTTTATCCGCTATGCAATGTGCCGTGGATTTCAAACTGTCCCCCCCAAAAGAAAAAAATACATTTCCACAATTTGCGAAAAAAAAACCTTCAGTGCCAATTGCATATGTGTTGTTCATTTTATATGCAGATTTTGAATACGAATACGTTACCAGACACGTGTTTAGAATCGTGGAGTAAAAATATGCATTGATCAGGGGACTTATACACTTTTAAAGACTTATACCACTTAAAAGAAAATCGAGTGAATCTATAGCATTCAGAGATCATTTCGCAATAGCTTTCCGCATATGAAGACTATGACTTCAATGTGCATTCGTAACAACGAATGAGGCTTACAAACTATACGAATTTTGAATATTTTAAAAATAAAATGATATATGAACTGGTTCTCTTAACACATCTCAATCGCATCTCTGTTGTATTTATTTTCCGCTGAACTCTTGAAATTCCTGTTCATTTTTCTCACTCTCTGCTGATCTCTTATTTTTCATTCCGCCCGCATACTTGCAATTCAAAAGTTTTTTATGTCTCCCTCTAAGTGTCGTCGTACAAATCGCCCTTCTATGTGATTTTCAAAAAGACAATGAGGGAACACTCGTTAAAATAATATTATTAATTTACTTCTTTGCTTTTTCCATTGATTCAATAGTAATCCTTATCCTTAATTTAGATTAGACTTCACGAAATAAGTTGCCGAACTTTTTTGCTTGTGTATTTTGGTATATAAACATGCTTGTCAGGGTGAATCACCCTGCATTGTGTGCAGGGTATGCTGACGAGCAGGCAACAGAAACAAGTTTTACATACCCCTAGTCGACAACGCGATACATTCACAAATTTATGAAAACTTGTACCTGTACGAATCTAAAGTGCATTCATATAGGTGGATATATGCATGAGAATATGTAGTAAATGTTACTAATCAACCTTTACAATATATGCCTCTAATTGATCCATTTGCTTTGCTTTATCCGCTACCTGTGCCCGCAGCTGTTGCACTGCATCACAAAGCTGTTTAACCTGCCCATCACATTCGAGCATCTACAGGAAACGGGCATTGGCAAAACGGTCAATGCGCTGCGGAAGATTAACGGAGAGGTCGGCGTTGCTGCGAAAACACTAGTCACAAAATGGAAGGCTATGGTTGCTGCTGAAGAGGAGCCCGCTGTACATACACACAGCAATGAAGAGGAGTCGAACAGATCGAATGGCCAACGATCCAGCGAAGAGGATCAAGATCAGGAGAACAAAGGCAGCAACTCCTCGGGTGGTGAAGAAGCCCGACATAGGCACAAGTCCAAACGCGAGGAACGTTCCAGGCATAGTGAGCATAAGAACAAATCAAGTAGCAGTAGCCACAGTAAAAGTCACTCAAAAAGCCGATCGGACAGCGACAAGAAACACAAAAGCAGCAGCCACGACAAGTCCAAGCCGAAGGACAGCAGCAGCGACAGACACCAGAAAGAGCCGAAAATCAGTAGCAGCAACGGCGGCGAGCATCGCAAATCCAAGGAATCACTGACGAAGTCCAGCAACAACCACCATAAGAGCAGCACCGAGAGTAATCATCATAGCAGTGGCAGCCACAACAACGTCAGCAGCGGCAGCCACAATAACGGCACCAGCGGCACCAACAACAGCAGTAGCAGTAGTAGCAGTAAGCATCACCGACATCAAAGCAGCCACAAAAGCGAGCACAGCAAATCCAAAAATGATAAAAGCAATGAGGTGAGTGAAATTGAAATGTCGTACAAATATTCCACAGTTAAGTTTCGTCATTCTCCAAACAGAGCAAGTCGCAAAGCAGTGAGCAAAAAGTTTCCAAAGAGAAATCGGAAAAGCACAAATCTTCCTCAACGTCAACCAAGTCATCTAAACGATCTCGCAGTCCACCGCGGACACAAGAAGATGATGCACCCAAAGCTAAAATATCTAAAACAAAGCCGATGGCGGATGCAGCTGAGCCCAAGGAAACCGCTAATGAGTTTGACTCTAGCATGGGCGCCAACTTTGACGACGTACTTGGTATGCTCAATATGCCAATGAGTGGCAAGAAGGTGGCTGGAAAGGTCAAATCTCCCCAAAAACCAAAAACCTCATCGACAGCAACTTCGTCTACTTCAATTAAAAAACCAACAACGGCAACAACAACATCAACAGCAACAGCAACAACTTCCACCAACAACAGGATGTCTAGTACAAAGGTAAAAACCTATAGGGAAAAGATGCATTTCATTCATTTACCTTAATATTTGATCGTTTGATAAATTTTTAGAAACCTGAGCTGTTGGCACCCACGGCAAAGCTGGAGCCTCTCGATCCCAGTATAGCGTTGGAATTGCCTACAATATCTAATAATTATAAACCCATGCCACTGAATCAAACCGTCATGGATTGTGTCTTCAATCAAGGTCTGGGAAGCTCCGCCCCCAGGCAACCTCGCAATTTCAATGAGTCTGAAGCGCTAGCAGCTGGAATATCATCCAAGACAATGCGGTTAGTTAATTGTCTATGACAAATAGTTATCCGCAATTTAATGCATTTTTTTGGCAGCACCAAGATCTACTCAGGTGTTAGAACTGGACAGATACTGCAGGTGCCGTCGCTCTTTGATCTTTGCACGCGTGTGCTTCAAAAGAACATTGACGGTAGTGAAAAAATACATTAAATCTTGCAGCAACAGTCCTCTAATCAATTTACTTTCTACAAACATCGTTTAGCTTTGGAATACACAGGCGGTGTGCCCTTCGATGTGTTGCGGCCAGTTCTGGAACGCGCCACACCACAACAACTGTTGAACGTTGAAGAATACAATCCTTATCTGATGGAAGACAGCGATGTCCTATGGCAGCAGCATGTGCAGCGGCATTGTCGTAGCCAGCGCAGGGAGGAAATGGAAACATGGCGTGAAATGTTTTTGGTAAACTTATTCTTTTAGCACTCATTGATTAGTATTTGACTGTGACAATTGGAAATTTAAAGCGCTGTGAGGAGGAAAAGGAGCGCAAGCTGAGCACAATTGCCGAGAGTATAAAAGCATCACAGAAAATCAGTGAGGCGCCGGTGCGCAAGACCCAATTGGCATTTGTTGACTCAATGGTGAAGCCGCCGCGCAATGTACAGCGCAAGCAGGAACAATATGGCACTAAAGGCAAGCTCATAGCCACCCCAGCGGCTCGTGTGGCCGCTTTGTCCAGTGTCACGCCCAACGCGGCAAAGGTGGGCGATGCAAGACTTCGTGTGATTGGCTCAGGGCGTGACGCAGCGCAAGTCTGTAAGTATCATCCTGGTGATCTGTGAAACGATATATAATATACATATTACTGCATTCGATTTCTCGCTCGATCCACAGCTGCTCCAGTGCGTAACAAGAAGGCGCCGCTGATGGCAAAGGCATTGCAATTGATACGCGGACGTCGAGGACGCTAATGTAAGCCAGCGAACAGCGGATTCAAGCTATACTCATTTGTTATGAATAACATCCAACATTGATTATCGATTAGATCACAGTTGGGTCTACTCACATTATATTCCACAAATTGTAGAGTTATTGGCCTGTTCTTAGGTTCGACTGTGAGAAAAACTATGCGCACTACATGCCAATTCATTTACTCATGTTGTACGCTTTTATTTATATAAATATATATTCACATATATATAAATAGCTTTAGTTTTTAAAGTCGAATAGTTTAGAGTTTTGTTATATTAATGCATATATATCATCCCAATTACTGCTCATTCAAACATATTTTTTGTTCACTTTAGAGTCATGCGGATTGCGCGTGAATGTTAAATAATTGATTGTAAACCACAAATCTGTCTCACCTAAGTTAAAAGTGTTTTGTTCCATTGGGCTGTGCGAGTGTCCAAAATCATTGTAAGTACGTGATTGTGAGTACATATGCTTACATATATACATACATACATATATTATACTTAAGTCAGTTTTTACAGCTGTAATAGCGGTAAAAATATGTAACAATTTTTAAGTTGAAAATTCATGAATACAGTTCCACACGTTGTACTCCATTTATTAGAGATTAATGAAATGAAACAGTTTGTGTAGCTATAAGTATATTTATGTTCTGTACAATAGATATAGCCCAACAGCTGGCAGATCCACAAAAACAATTGAATGATTATGTATGTATACCTTGTAATATACGAGTATATACAATGTTCTGGCATTCAGAGACATCACGAATTATTTAATATTCATTTTGTAGTATACGAAGGTATGCTAGTTTAAAAATTGTTGAAAAGCAAGAAAACAAATTGTTCCACTTGATAGCAACAGTAATACTTATTATACAGACTTATTACAAATAAATTATTTTAAAAACAAGAACTATCATTAATTACTGTGACATCCTTTAAGTGCCTATGCAATAGAGCGTTTTACTGCGTCCATAAAATACATCAACCAGACGCTGGCAGGAACTATTAAGAGTTAACAGACGATTCGTTGTAGCTGATGATGACGTTGATGATGATGAGTAGTTACTCCCGCTGCTGCTGCTGCTCTCACTGTGATATGAAAAAAAGTAAAACCGATTTATATTTATATATTTTGAATTTTGAGCTGTAGTAACTCACTTCATGGGCGCCAGCTTTTTAATGTCCCACAGTCGTAGGCTGCCATCGATGCAGGCAGTCGCTAGTTGCTGATTGTGTGCACCCCATGCTATAGAACTAACACTGGTCGGATGATCCTTCAGCTCGCTCAGTTGAGCGCCCGCAGCCAGGTCGAAAATACGAACCTTAGACTCATCCCCGGCAGCAGCCAGCATTTTGCCATCATTACTAAACGCGAGACTAGTGACTGCCTGCCGACAGTCGGCAAAGACGCGCATTAGTTTGCCGCTGGTCGCGCACCACAGACGCACCGAATGATCCGCCGAGCCGGTGGCTAAGTAATTGCCATTTGGATGAAAGGCAATGCACTGTGAATAGAAGAACAGCTTTATTACCTCCCCAATGTATAAAATATCGATTGCTTTTAGTTAACCTCAACGTCTTGCGTATGGCCAGCATATATGACCAGCGCATGCTCGCGCTCCAGGGACCACAATCGTGCGCTCAAATCCTTGGAGCCAGTGACTACATACTGTCCAACAGGACTCTCATCCACACACCAGATGGGATAGTTGTGACTCCGGTAAATGGCTGCGCATTGAAAATTGTGCGCCCGCCAGCAACGCAGCGTGCAGTCCTTGGACACACTATAGAAGAGCGGGTAGTGTGATGAGAAACGGACATTGGTTACACCTTTGGTATGTCCTCGCATCTGCACACCTCCATACTCGTTGCTAAAGTAGAGAAAGACATTCATATTCATTATTAGTTTTCGAAAGTAGTTTTTGAATACCTACAAGGAGTTATCTGGATATTTCTTGCGTGCGGCTTTCTGACGCTCGCGACGCTGTTCAGCGCTGCATGTGAACGATTCCTCATCGCTGTCCAGTTCCTCTTGTTCGTCATCTGTACAATTGTTGAGCTCCCAGGCGCATTGTGAGTGTGGAGTACGTCTGTAAAAACTCTTACCCTTACAGCTATGCTGGTTCAGTTGCCACAGCTGAACGGCGGAGTTATCAAAGCCTGCAAGCATGTGGCATTCGTTGTTATCCAAGTGGGCCGAGGTGAGCCCACGCGACCTCTCGCAAACCCTATAAAAACATGGCAGATCCGCTTGAGCTTTCAGTATTTGCGTTGTGGAAAATTTCATTGAATCGAGGCAGGCGTCAATGTTGAGTTTCTGTTTATCTACGGCTGGAGCTGGGTCAGACACGGTAATCGCAGTTTCTGCTTTAACTTCAAACTCCAGTTTAACGACTGGCTCCTCGGCAGGACGTTTCTTAATAGTACTCTTATCAACAGACTTGCTGGACTTGTGCTCGTTTCGGCTGTTGTGTGTTGTACTTGGTATTGGGGCTGTCTCATCAGTATCCATATCGTCTATCACATCAAGCTCTTCGGTTATTCCCAGCAGATGATCCTCTGTAAAGAGACGCTGATCGTTGTCCACAATGTGAATGTGCAGCCAGGTGTAGATCAGATTCATAATCAGCACATGGCCGCGTCGATGCAAATAGGTGATAATTTTTTCAACCACCTGGGCCGTTGTATGCAGCTCGAATTTGGATGCACGAAAATGCGCTACAGTTGGGTCTGATTCCGCAGTCTCCAGTTTCGTACAGCCCGATAATATTTGTACTAATTTCATAAAGTAATCCAGTTCCATGTCTCCAGTATTTTGCGCTTCGCTAGCAAATCGGATGTGACAGTCGGCAGCTCCCGAAATTTGCGACTCGTTCGTCACCGAACAGCCATTTATCTTGGTGGGCAGTGGTGCATCGTACAGGTCGACCGGTGCTACAAGATGCGCATATTTTTTCAGCAGCTCGACGGCACCCTTAGATTCGCGCGCTTTTAGTAGTTCAATGTACAAATGGCAGAGCATCGGCGCATAAAAGCGCTTCATTTCTAAACGCAATGGCTCTGGCTGTGATTCCACAAACTGCGAGAAACGTCCAAATTGCTGGTCAACCATATGTTGATTGTTTGTTATGACCTGGACGTTCGAGTAGGTGAAGCTATTACCGCCATGGAGATCAGTTTCCAGCATTTTATTAACAGCAAATTGACTTTTATTTTGCATTAGAAGGAAATCAGATTTGCGAAACTTCTCGTTGCCCTTAAAACGATTGCAAAACGCATTATGATTTATTAATTAACGAAGGTAATATCAAGTTTACTTACAACATAATTCTTTTGCTTCAGCAACAAACCAACTGCGGCCCGCATTAAATCGCTTTTTGAAGTCTTCTTTATGACAGACTTATTGCTGAATATTGGCGACGATGCATGATTGTTGTTGTTCGCATTCGGCAAACTCATATTTCCTCTCGTGGTCCTTTATCGAATCCTAATCCCGTCCTGCAACTTGCTGAAGCATCCGTTCTGTGTATATGTGCAGTACTGTGCAGCGTCGAAATATTCGCTAGTGTTGCATACGATAGCCGCTAAAATCATCGATTCATTCCAACATTGCATCGATACCAACATAACAGCTGTTCGAAAGTAATAGTACTCTTTTTGTTGTGTTGTCATTCGGTAGTTCGCGCGGTTGCTTTCCTATTGTCTGTTTATTTTTGTTATTTTTGTTGTAGATTAACTAAGAACAAAGTTCCACAACTTGAGACATTTATAATTAAAAAATAATTAAAACATTTTTAATATGAGCAGTACAACAAAGTTTGTTGCTGAATTCTGTGATATTATAGATTCTTATGGAGGGCGGGATAAGGTGAGTAATAAATAATTGTTCAATTAGTTCAGCCCATAAAAAAACGTGAACGCCTTTACAAAAATTCGGCTTATTTGTTGTTTTAAAAAATGCAGCGTGGCAGTTGTGTTGTTGTTGTGTTGCGGGTCTTTATCTACCGCACCAACAGGTTTTTCTTACCTTGATCAGAGTCGGAAGCGCCATACTTGAACCTTGCCTTACTTCTTGTTGCGATTCTGCAAATACCTAAGATTTAATCAGTTATATTAAAATCAGATTGCACAGAAGTCAAGATAGTAATGGTACAGCTACCGGCACATCGAACATTCACCCGGCAGGAAATCAAAAAGATTATCGGCTATGAGCGAAAGGTAAACTAGTTAACAAGTCCCTAGGGTAGCAAGTGAAGTCCAAAACGAATATACCCCATGAAATATTTAATTAATGGCTATTGATTGCTTTGTAGTGGCAATGTCAACATCGTAAGCTAAGACAAACCCCATTTAGCATTAATAAAATATGAGTGCGACCTATAACGGAAATTGTAATGAAAGTAAAAACCAAAAACCACTTGGGTATAGACGCAGTTATTGAGATGTTCGTCGCATTCGTGGTGTTCTTTTTATCGCTGATAATTTTTTATCTCTTTATAAGTGAAAAACAATTTCAGAAAGTGCTTTAATGGAAGACAAACAAAAAAAACCGAGTAAGACTATTAAGAAATACATATATTAATTTATTCAATAATTGGAAAAAAAAATAGTAGTATAACTGTAATTCGATAGTACTCCCAGCTCTATAAATGTAAAATAAATTGTTTCGCAAACTTGCAGATATTAATTATTATTACAGATATTATTAAAAAAAAAAAAAATGAATCCCTAAGACTATAGTCTACTCGACTAACTCTGCTCAGAGTTTCACGAAGACAAACAGCACAAAACCAATATACTCTTTTCACTCCGTAAAAGAGCATGATAAACAAAGATCAGGTTCAAGTAAATAAACGGCAGAGCAACTTAAATACCTAAAAGCAAATATTAAAAAATATATATTATCAATTTATATCCCTTTATTCTCTTTTTTAAGGTGATGAAAGCGCTTTGCTACAGCGCAAAGCTCGTAGCTGGCTATCATCTGAAGCGGAATCCAGAGTTGGCTAAGCGCTATGCGACCGCCAGCTCAAAAATATCTGGAGCAAGAGCTACACTACGTCTTATCGATGATATACCAATGATACAATATGCACTGGAATATGGGCTGGGAGAGAATGAACCGGATCGCATTATGGCAATACTTGGCGTGACGGCCAATATTGTCGACTTGCTATACTATCCAATTGAGAAAATCTGTTGGCTATCTGAGCATAAGATTGTGGACGTAAAGCACGCTGACAATTGGGATAATGCGAATTCAGTATTCTGGGTGCTTTCGGTTTACTTAAACCTAATGCGGTTAGTTGTTGAAATGGTAAAGATTTCAATGTATTCTATATGAAATAATTCTTAATTGCAGTACACTTCGCAACTTTTGGCTAAATCAGGAAAAGCTAAATCGCAGTCATGAGCTATGCAGGTCAGTTAAGCCAACTTAAGTTGATCACTCTTAAGACATTCACTACTCACATATTTATTTAAAATCATTTTTAATATAGTCCTACGAATATCGATGCCAAATCGCTGGCCAAACATCGCCTGGAATTGATGTCTATAGCCCGCATTTCACTCGACTTTGTGCATGCCGTCAGCACCCTGCCCAAAGGCTACTTGTGGGGTGGAAAATTGTCCACCTTTCAAGTGGGGGCCATTGGAACACTATCAGCTGGCCTGGGCATCTACCAAATCTTTGCCAAGAGAAGACTTTGCAAATAATTCTTAGGGTTATCAGAGCCAATACATATTCATCAGCATTTGTAGCTAGTCGTTAAGATAAATTGTGGAATTTTCAAGAATTTTGTAAAACAAATTGTATAGTTCTTAAATATGTAAGCACAAAATATATAAATTATTAGCTAGAAAGTATAAGATGTTTGTATGTTTTGGTCTGTGTGTCCTTTATTATCTATTCCATCTTCATGTTCATGTTGATATACATTTACACGTTTTAGTTTGCATACTCAGCATAAGGTTTACCTATGTTACAGGCCTTTATATATTGTCGTCTCTTTGAGGGTATATCATGTTTTATAATGCTTTCGGCTTTAAATTACTATTTGTCAGTTTAGATAGCAGTCATGATTATTGTTTTACATTAAGTATGCTTTTGATTTGCAATTTAAGGATCATTTCACACATCTCTCTGTTTAGTATAATACATGGAATCATTGGGATTTCCCCTGCTTCTGTGTGTGTAAATAGCGAGTTATGTCAAAGTTATATGTAGTTATTTATTACTATTGTTATTCATCGTATATATATAGATATATACTATTGTACACAAAGTAAATTTGGTTGCTGTTCAAGCATGTAAATACATATTAACAATTATTCAAATAATTGGGATTTTTCTTGTTACTTTTCTGCCACCTTTTTAAGCTCTTTAATAAGTATTTATGAATAAATATCATTTTTTATAGTTAAAATTTAATTTAATTTTGCTTTTAGTATTTTGCATAATAATTCATAACTTATTTAGGCGCATACATTGTTTTTATTTTATTTACTTTGGTTTATCGCAAAGGTTTTATTTCATTAAAAATCTTTTTAGTTGATATTAATAGATATTTTGGGATTTGTTAATTAGTTACCTAACTATTTATATATATATATTTCATTGATTACAGTTTATATTGGGTTACATACATACATATACATTTATGTATATATATATTCATATATATTTATTATTTGTTCCATAGTCATCTTCGTTCTATATGCTGTACAAAAAAAGCATTCAAAAAGTTCAAAAAATTTCTGCACTCAAAATATGTTCAACTTTGTTCCATTTGCTTTTTCTTTGWTTATTTTATATAATATTATAACCGTAATGCAATTTGAACTTTAGCTCATAACAATATATATATAAATATATA